AAAACCACATCTTGATGAACACAGGTACACTGACGTACATCCTGTTTATAGGTTCTATGTCACCCGCCGTCAAATCTATGTCATTTTCTTCTGTCGAGAGTGATAGGCATACTCCTATTGTATACAAAACCATTACTGTACGCACACCTTCAAAATCATAAACGACAATTATCAATGTTGCTGTATACCAACTTCAAGAAGCATCTTACGATTTCTCACTTTTCCTGTACTTTACAATTACACTGTACATGTTTTATTTGATTGTTTTAAGCGCAACTCGTTTAATTGCGTTATTATATTGGCCGATATACACACATACATACACATATTACATTGCATTTTACTGGTGGAACTTCATTTTACTATTTTTATTATGTCACCATGCTACATCTCTGAATCGTTCATTTGCAACGCATACATTTTATTTGTTCCTCCATCACGCTTCAACAAGACGTTGGTGACAGAGCATTCTCGATTTTTGCTCCCAAAGTGGAACAATCTGCCTTCTTAAGTCCGTGAAGCTCCGTCATATACTGTATCTATTTTCAAGACACAACTAAAAACACATCTTTTTCAGTCTCTAATTTATTCGTTCACTTTGTTTTTTGTTTTGTTTGTTATTTTTTTCCTCCCGTTTTTTCTTCCTACAGGATAGGTTAAATTAGTCACTAGGATTTCTAGAGCACCTGTGAGTACTGTTCCAGCAGCCACGTATCTCAAATTGTTGGAGAACAGTGCAGTGATGTACTGGTTCGTTCTTAATGTGATTCTCTAGTAAATTGCTAATTGGTGGTTTTAGAATAGTTCATTGGTTAGTTTTCTTATTTTCTATTTTTTAAATCTTGAAGCGCTTTGACTAGTTTCTAATTGTGATAAGGCGCTGTACAAGCCGATTTCCATTTTCATGTCAGTTTCTCAATTAACCTACTGTATATTATTAGTTTCATATTGCTATGTATAAGTACAGTATCTTGATATGTGTTCTTTCATTGCTTCCCTCTTTCGAACTTGTTTGAAAAACGATCTTTTTGTTCATTTACTTTATTATAACTGTTTATGATAGAACAATTAGTCTGTTGTAAATTTTGTTACTATTTTTTTCTGGGATAGGCCCTCGGACCCGCCTCCCTCACCTATGTTTGTTTCTGCTCGCTTTATGCGTTAATTTTTAAGTCGATTTTCTAGTACTAACAACAAAATAGCACAAAAACCATGAGATTAACGAAATATGTCATATTATATGCCAGATCTCGCAGAACATGCCTGAGCATTTTTGGCGCGGCAGGAAATTTTCTGAAAATTATGAATTTGCTTTTTTAAGAATATTTTTCACTAGATCTTCATTAGTATTTCGATTTGTTTCTGATGTTTTCGTTTGGCATAGGCCTCAGTATTGGAGAGAACCACTGAGTCATGGACTGTGGCATGGACTGTGGCAATCCTCGGGATAAGTTAGCGCTTAGCCATTTCAATCTGTGATTTAATTGATCAATTACCCGGAAAGGGGTCGACTTAGTACTAGTCCGTCGTACAATGTGTGTGAAAAACATCTCTGGGCCAGTAAACCTACCTTCTAGCCCGGTGGGCCAGTGATCAGTTATAGTTGCTTCAAGTATGCTTGGCCACTAACATAATGCTACTGAGTAGTAGCATGATAGAGACAAAAGAATCTGCAAGATATGTAATAACAATATTATTGAAGATGGATTTCACTTTATTTTACAATGCCCATATTATGCTGATAAGGAGCAAATATATTCCAATATTTATTTACTTATATGCATCTATTCACAAGCTCTGTCTATTATTTTCAAATACAAAATATATTAATAATTTAGCAAAATACGTCTACTTTGCGTTTGAAAAAAGAAAAAAATGTATTATGTTACAAAAAAATTATGTTTAGTATTAGGGCCAAACGGCCTATGTACTTGAATAAATTCCCTGAATAGGGAAAGAAAGAAAGAAAGAGTAAAAAGTAGCCAATGATTGGGCTATTTCACTAGCCAATGAGCTAGTGATATACAGTAAAGTATCCCAGTGGGCTGGTCACCAAAGAAAGTTAAAATCGAACCCTGTTTAAACAGGGTGTCTTGTAAAACTATTCTACCGACTTCTCTACATTTAGTTTCGTCACACATGATACTCTACAGGATTTTCCTATTGTAAGCTACGGTAGTTGAAAGTAGAAAATCTCTCACACCTAGATGCCCAACATCCATCAAATCAAATCAAATCATCTTTATTGCAACTTTCTTTCTGGAGTTGGATTTACATGCATTTTTTTTAAATATAGGCCTAAAATACATATGCCTATACAAAGTAGAAATAAGGCCTATACAAACATAAGAATCAGTCACAAAAAAAATTAAAAGGTAAAGAGGACAATTAAAATAATTTATTTAATTAAGTTAATTATTTAATTTATTGCAAAACTATAATTACCGTGAATGTTCTAATATTATAGCGCCACGACGCTTATAACATTTCTGGAGGCTTCAGTGCGGCGCTTATTCGAGAGAAAATAAAAAAAGAAAATTACAATTATATATTTAATTAAGTTAACTATTATTTAATTTATTGTAAAACTATAATTAAACAGCAAATGGTTAACCAATTCCATCACCATCTCAACCTGTTATAATGAAGATGATAAATCATAAATGGTGATGATAATAAATACAGGGTTTGTGGTTGTGGATTGGTATACATGACTCTAGACAACAGAGCGGCGTTTATTTGAGAGCGGTCGGGAGCTTATAAAAAATACCCGTTCGGTTCCCATGTTACATATCTCACGAAGGTCCTACGTGATCGTAAATACATTTATAGAGAAATGTTTGTCTTAATTGTGTTATTCATTCATTTTAACACCGTATGCATTGTATTTAAAACTCTGTTTCTCAAAGTGTTTCAAGTTACACACAGGGTAATTATAAACTATTGATTAAGCGGTACAAATAAACTACGGTATCGATTAAGCGGTACAAATAAACTACGGTATCGATTAAGCGGTACAAATTCGATAGCGGGGCTTACTTATCTAAACAAATCAGGCTTGGTGCGGCGCTTATTCGAGAGCGGCGCTTATTTCAACATCAAACGGTTCACCAATACATGTTTAACATTAATTACTTTAAGTTAATTATTATTTAATTTAATGCAAAATTATGATAAAAAACATATCTTTTTTATATATAGGCCTTAATATAAAATAGGGCCTACATACACTAAGCTGAAATAGAAAAACATCAAGAATCAATCACAAAATACCAAAAAATAGACAAATTACAAGGGTAAAAAAGAAAATTACAATTATATATTTAATTAAGTTAACTATTATTTATTGTAAAACAAAAGGTTAACCTATTCCATCACCATCTCAACCTGTTATAATGAAAATGATAAATCATAAATGGTGATGATAATAAATACAGGGTTTGTGGTTGTGGATTGGTATACATGACTCTAGACAACACAACTATACTGTACTCTCAGACAACACAAACTGTACTAACAGACAACTTGTAGTATAGTTGTCTCAGGCATGGAGCTATAAAATTATAGCTCCATGTCTCAGGTATTATATGTACTCAGACCGGGACTCAGACTGCTCTGGTGGTAAAATGATTGTGTGGACACGTGAATAGACTGACGAATAAGACAATTTCTAAAGCTTAAACACAAATACAAAGGGCATAAATTACAACAAATCAACGGAAACAAGTCAATATCATTATCGAATAAATAATTGATTGATTTGTTGACAACCGTATTTCATAGAAACAAGGATACAATTTTTAGCCAATCCTAGTTAATTCACAGCAAGTGGAGATTGTCAGATTCAACCATTTTTGTGTAGGGTTAAAAATAAATATTTGTAATTAATATAATTACTGTTTAAATAATAGCATTTTATAATTAGTAAACATTATTTAAATATATTTATATCATTATAAGTATAAGTAATATAATGGTTTTAAATAAATTACACAATGTAAATAGCTACAATAACTCTATTTAGTTACCTGTATCAAAATGACACCAACCTCACACCAATGTATTGTGTGCAGAGAGTCAATAGAGTGCTTTTGACTGTTTTAATGTAGAGAAACAGATGGATGTTAGGTGGGCAGATATTGACTTTTTTTGGCGATGGACTTGTAACTAAAAGGTTAAAATAAACTAAGTAACCCACCATAAATTTATCGGAGATCTATGATTATGGCCGTGCAGTGTATTTATTAGGATTGTTTGGAAATTTCTAACAGTGAGATGACAGGGACGCTGTGTTCAAACAGGTTGTTCAGAATGGGTTACCGCGGTAATTAACACTTGTTACGCTCCTGTGAGTATCCTGCTGGTTGTGCTTATTTATTTTTTACGATATTCAAAAGAACAGCTTATCACAATTTATATTTAAATATAACACATAAAAGTCTTTATTACACACCGTTACAAAATCTTTAAAATGGCAGACAGAAAGAAAAAATCAGAGACTACATCTACAGAAACTTCGAAGGAAACGATGTCTTCGTCGAGTCCTCCAACAACAATAACATCGAAAGATCTCTTTGGAAAAAACTTGCAGGCAACGATAACGTATTGTAGTGTGTTCTGGAGTTTTGGAATGTGTGTTGCATTATTAGGGCCTACATTGTTGGATCTTGGATGCCAGACAAGCTCAAAATTGGACTCGATGGCTTGGGTTTTCCTTGCTCAAACCCTTAGTACTTTAGTTGGATCAATGCTTGGAGGAATTCTGGTTGACAGGTGAGTTTATTTATTATTAATTAATGAACCTGTGATGATGCATTGTTGGTATCATAGGCCTAGCTAGTACTAGTAGTACTAGTAGTAGTAGTAGTAGGTCTGCAGTACCACTGTAAAGTTTCCAGTACCACTCTCATTTCCAAGTCCAGAGTACATCCAGCAACATTAAACTCATCTAGATAAAAACAGCCATCCAAGGTGATGTTCAATTCCAAAACAGTAGGCATATGTAGGCAACTGTCAACTAGGACAAAAAACTGCATAGAGTTTATACGCAGTATCAATACAATTTTGTACTGTGTCGCAACAAAAAATATGATTTGAAGCATTAGTATTTAATTTAGCATTTAAAAAATTGGTTTTATATTATAAATATACAATATAATAATGTTAAATTTATAAATTACAAAACATGGCATAATTCAGGAGTATGATGAAGGGAGAATTGGCAACTTGACATATTAATAAATAGGCCTAAAATATGAAATTAATTGCATTTCTTTTATGTGTTTTGTCTCGTGAAAGTGAATCACCTACAGTAGTATATTTGCAAATATATAAAAAATAAAGTAAATTTCTTTCACAACTAAAATAAACATTGACACTGACAAACACAATGGAACCAAACAACAATGCATCATTCAGCATTAATTTAACAACAACATAATAACGATAGTAAACTTTATACTGTAGGCCATACCGCTTTTATTATCAACTAAGTAAAGCTCATGGTGCTTAATTGCATAAACCACAAAGTGAAATGAAGAATAAAATAATATATTTAAAAAAGTAGTCATCCACCAAATGCAAGTTTGAAATATTATCATGTAAATATTTATAAAGAATGCCCTTCGGAAAAGCATAGTATTGCCTCCGGTAAAGTATATTTTGCCATTCACCACCAGAGGTACCACTGGAAGTAGGTCTTCAAACTTTTGTGAGTTGTTAGTGTTCACAACAAATCCAACCCCATCCAATATTCCCAACAGTATAAAAATGTATTAATAAGCATGGAGCAAACTGAATAGGTAATAATAATACAGTAGTACCATGAATATTTAGAACCAAAGGCTTTAGTTGCTATGATATCAAATTATGAATATTGCAAGGGATATAGATGGTGGTAATCATCATTATAACTACTATTGTTTGGTTCTTTATTGCTAAGAGCCTCTTCATGTTGTTACCATAGTAATATGTTGTATTCTCAAACCAATCAAGCCCATTTTGTAATAGTTTACCATGGCTTCGTCTTTTATTCTCATCATCTATGACCTGCCTACCACCACTGCTTACACATCTGTTATTAACTTAATGGCCTTCTTCCATGCTCACTATATTTAATTATTATCAAGATATTTTGTGAAGGTGAATGCGTAAAATTTTCATTTTATAAAACCTTTTACTTAAAATTTATATTTTAAACTCTATGTATTTGATTACTTTCTCTAAACTGTTTTATTATTTAATATAAGCAACAAGGACCTAAATTTCAAGTAAACCATATTGTATTTGATACTTTACTTCAAATGCTAAAATATTATTATTATTATAAATAAAATCGTGTATCTTTATTAAAATTGTTATTTTACTAGTTCATTAATTTCATCTCTCAAAAAAAAATCTTGTGATTGAAACAATTATTGCTCTTCTTAACTGTATGCACTGTCACATGTATTTGTTTTGAAATTCAGAGTTAAATTTTACAAAATTATTATTTTTTTCTTAATAATAATTATTATTAAAGCAATAAAATACAATTTTTATATAAGATTTGTTCATGTCATTTAGTAAGTAATCATATTTTTCATATTGATTCTAGAATTAGTTACCATCAGTGTCATATAGTAATCAATTTGACAGGAATATAAAACTCTAGCACTAAGGTGAAATTGTTGTATGTTTGTAATAATCACTTGAGTTATGGCATTATTACCAAATCTGAAATGTCCAGTATCATTATTACACAGGTGAATATCTATTGCACTATAATAAAATAGGTGGTTAACAACATAATATTTATCAAATAATGTATTTTTAAAAATAATTAAAACAATAAAAAAATATACTGTCGTATATCATTATTCATTTTCACAATATTTAATGATGCACAGGGTGTGGGTGGGGGAGGGGCATCCCGAACATAAAAGAGTTACAGTAAATAACAAAAAACTAACTAGTCGGAATATCTGTATATTTGTAGATGCTCTGGCTGTCTCTATGTGCTTTCTGGTGATTATTATTATTATAGATAGTAAAGATCCAATGATACAAGCAAAATAGCACTTTACGATTAGATTAGTCCATTTTTGTTGTGATGATTTAGATGGAATCTTGCTGTAGAATTATACTGAAAGAGTGGCTTTAAGACCTGGATCATTTTTTAAGTCAGCAAACCTGTTTTCTTCCATAACCAATTGTGTTATTGTATACTGTACTACTTCGATGTTATTGAAAACACAACACCGTTATCAAAACATTCATTCAGAAACCAATCTGGACATTAAACGTACAGTAGATGAACATGTGGCCTTACAGTATATCCCATTGGATAAAGGAAATCATTTAATTCAGGTATTATAAACTTATTGAAATTTGTATTCAACAGCTGTAAACAGAATTATGGTGAATTTTCATATTATATCATGAACCATATAGTATACAGTAGACCTGAATACTGTAATAAGTTAGTGTTACTTTACTCACCTCGCTAACCAAAATTTGAATATTTTAACAAATTTTTAAAGTAAGTTTTGGCAGTCAGTTCCACTTAATAAACTGATAAATATGGTGTTGTTTTAATTAAGATGCATTTACTATTTACTGCATACTGTTGGAAGCTTGACAATTCTGGTTTATTATAATTTTTTTAATAGATTTTTCCAGTATTATTTTATGGCTTAAAAATAGTCCAGTAACATCTAATAATTTTGTGTAAGAGTGGTTCAAATTTTTAACATGTACTGTGCTTGTACCTCCTAATATGATACCTTGCACAGGCTTTGCTGAAAATTACCATGGGAGTGAACTATTTATTTATTTTTTTAAATCCTTTTTTATTCTCAAACTTTTAATAAATAGGCCAAGATCGGTAAATACAAAGTAAAAGTATCAAAACAACTAATTAAAGTAAATGAATTAATGCAATAACAAGAGTTTGACTTGGAATTTTAGATGTAAGGAAAAGTAATTACAAATAGTATGTATTTAAAGTAAAAAATACAATATTTTAATTCATACAGTAGTTTAGAGGATATTTTAATAAGTCCATTGTTTGCTTCATCAAGGCTTTGTGTGAACCATGACTCACAATCAATATTTGTATTTCAACATCAAGCTAATTAAAAGTAGAGTTGTTCCATCCTCATTCTCAACATCATTATGATAATGCTTTCTATAATTACTCATCTTATAATTATTTTGTGTTTTGATACATTAAGATATCATTGGATCTTCAAAATATTTTTGTAATCTAACATTCTTTTTTTTTTTGGGAGTGGAGGAGAGAGAGAAGGCAGGGAACTGTTGGCTTAGAAACAGTAGGGACATGAAGGCACACTCTATTGCGTTCACCGCCATATCTGCCCCCCCCCCCCAAATTCTCGCAGTCTTTGAAATCTTAGGTTCACTCAACAAATACATTTCAGTATTTGTACTGTGACGAAAAAATATTTTTAGAATTGAGGAACACAACACTGTTCACTTCACGGTTCATTACATGATCATTTTTAATACTCATCCTACTGACATTCTAGGGGCCTATTAATCAGTTTTTGTAATTAATGTTATTGTCTTCACTCAGGCTGTACTAATTCTATACCTCCATTTTCAGTGTTCTCTTTAAAAACGTTGTGCTCATCCTACACCTCAATTTACAGTGTTCCCCTTTAATGTTCCCGTTAATGTTGTGCTCGTCCTGAAGAATCTCAATTTACAGTGTTCTTTTGAATGTTGTGCTCATCCTACACCTCAATTTACAGTGTTCTCTTTTATGTTGTACTCATCCTCCACCTCAACAGTGTTTTCTTTAAAGCCCCTGTCACACTTTAGTGTATAGAACCAACGTATGCCGACGTTTATCAAAATATTGGTTTACGTTCGCGTAGTTGACATTCGTAATACGTTTGGCATACGTTGTATTTGTTAGCTGTTCGTTGGGGTACGCTGGGGTCGATTAAAATTTTTGGACATGTTCAAAATTTTAAACGAATGACAACGTTCTGCTGCATACGCTATGTATACGGTGAGCATTCGTTGTTTGAACGTTTCGCATGTTTTGGTGCACGTTGGGTTTACGTTTTCCGTTCGTCCGTTCTTCGCCCAAACACGTTCAATCCCATCTGAAACGTTGCCATAGCAAATGCATAACGTATTCATAGCGTTTGTCTAACTAATGACTAACGAATGGCCAGCAAACACTCAGCGTATACCGACCTACATCAACGTTTACAAGTCGTCAATACGTAAGGCATACGTGTGACATTCGCTGGGCATTCGTTGTGTACGCTGAACATTCGTTGGGCGAACGCTGCAAACGTGCTGTCATTCGTTAAATGGACGCTAGTTGTACGATGAACATTCGTTTCTCATTCGTTGGGCGTTTGTCTTTCACGCAAAATTTTTTTTTTTTTTGCCAAAAAAATTGAGCGTATCTGAGCGTATCAGGACTTAGAAAAAGAAATGAGAACGCTCGGCATATGTTAGGTCTATTCGCTACTATGTGACAGGGCCTTAAAGTTTAATGTCCTTCCCTATGCTATTATGCCATTACAGTGATTAGTGGTCAGGTCATAATAACTATATCCACAATTTAATCCGTAGCGGATTACTATTGATTTAATCGTCCACGTAGTACAATATGATGAATATTGAATTGTTCAATCTCTTTGTGATTTATGATATTGGAATTTGAAACAAATGATTTTTCCAATTTGGATAAGAGATTTCCACCTCCATATAAAATATTCTTCTACTCAAGCCTTGATATAGTCCAGCCCAAT